TTTGACTATAAATTCACAGATACACTGCCTCCACAATTGCAATGTAATGTTACACGCGATGAGTACAAACATGAAGAATCAAAACGAGTCAGCTTTGGATTTATCGCCTCATTTTTGAATTGTGGTATCATAATCGGGTGTGATGAATCACCAAAAGCAGAAGGCATGCGACGAATGATCCGGCACATATTTCGAATGCTGAACTATGCCGATCTACCCCCTGCAATGATGTATGACGCAGCTTGCACTCTGAAACTATTTATTGAAAACGTGTACGGAACAGAACACTTGAAAGATTCTGACAAAAGTCGATTTATCGAAAATATGAAACTAGCCACTGACAGATTCCACCAAAGGAATCATACTCGCGCAATTTGTAGAAATGGTAAATAATTTGAATTTTTACAATTCATGCAGGTTCATTGGATTGCGAACTATTTTCTCACTGTTTAGGGATGAATGCAGATAATTCCATACATCAGGGTGTATTCACTGGCATTAATTCTTCATTATGTGAACAAACCTTTTCGTATATGTCAAAATTCAAAACAATATTTAGATCATACAACTATCCAAAGGTATATACAATGTATTTAATCCTATTCCATTTAAGGAATTGCGATATTTCTGGCATTTCACCTGATTTAGAACATATGGGGGCCCATGTCATCCCCAGCTCTATACGAACAATGCAACCGCAAACATAAGAACATTTGAACACATTCTAAAACAATCTTGTTGAAGTGAAACAACTTCAGTCATTTCTTATCTTACTAGTTCAGAACTATATATTCAACTAATTGCAACTTCTGACATTAGCGGTGCTGCAATTTCATCTTTATTCGTTTTTATTCTATTTGTTATTTTTTACTGACTTTTTTAATGTCATTCAAAGCAAATAAAATCAAAAGTCTGGACAATAACAACACTATCGATATGCATGAAGTTACCGAAAGAATCTGAGTTTTACGCGGTCGGCAAGTGTGTGGCTGATAAAAGGCTTCTTCCTTTAAATTATCACTTATCAGAACGGTTTAGTACCTATAGCTCAAAAATTATATAATCATATAATAAAACAATATAATTTATTTCAAAGAATGTTTCACTCCATTAGACAGACAATTTGTTACCAATCACACAAGTCATGTCACACATATCAGAAAAACACAAATAAATAAAATATCTAATATGCCTAAACTACCGAAAAATGACCAGGTAATATAGCCCCAACTAACATAAATCCCACAAAACCCCAAACCGACAAACATCATAAAGTCGAGGCGGATGACTGCCAAGAAATATGTCCTACTTCAACAATTCACATAGCAAACCAAGGAAAGCACTGCAGCAATTGCAAAAGACTATAAATACCTGAAATACCATAAAAACCATGAATAACATAAATAGCATAAAAAAGATGAATAACACAAATACCTAAATACCATAAAAACCATGAATAACATAAACAACATAAAAACCATGAATAACATAAACAACATAAAAACCATGAATAACATAAATAGCATAAAAAAGATGAATAACATAAATACCTAAATACCATAAAAACCATGAATAACACAAATACCGTAAAAACCATGAATAACATAAACAACATAAAAACCATGAATAACTACAATAACATAAAGTAGAGATGGATGCCTGTTGTCAAATGCTTTTTATATGATCCAGAAACATTGTAAAGTATAGATGGGCACATGTCATGTGGGCCTGAAACCAGCGTGCTGATGAAGTTGCTTCAAGAAATTCCGAACAAAAGTGGAGTTGCAGCAATTGCAAACTTTTCACGACATCAATCGAAACATCAACACTAAAAGAAATGTTCATCAATGTGCGTAATTGATATCCTGTATTTGAGAATAAATTTTGTTCTTTCAGAAGGCAGATTAAGCTTTGATCTGTGATAGTTTCAGACCAATTCTCAAGAGTTATTTATTGTGAGTTTCAGCCTCTGAACAAGCGAAAGCATTTTATTTAACGTAGGTCATTAACTTATTACGTTAATGACCTAAATGTATAATATTACTTCACTGACGTAGGGAATCTAACATTCTGAACCCATCACTCGAAGAAGAGAATATAAATCATCGGACGTAGTCAATAAAATTGAACTTTCTGAGCGCTTAACCAAACTAATCATCACCGAAACACGTGTGAAGGTAATATAGCTTTATTCAAGTGAAAACAGTATGGATGTTACATTGTTTCCTCGCTGTAAACGAGAATATTATCAAAATGGTATATGAAAACGATCGATAAGCTTGTATACGATAGTCACTTTAACGAATTTCGACATGTAATCGAAGATATCATGATGAAGTTTAGAACGACGAATAATTGGCATAGGTCGAGCAGTTTCTAAATGTCATCATTTTATCAGACACACTACTGTAAATAGTTTATGTAGGTTTCTGAGCATATCGTTATCAGTTTTGATAAGTGCTGATCTCAATATGCTATACATTAGGTATACATGAAAAGTCAAGAGGTTCTCATGAAGAACCAAAATTTGTCTAATCATATTTGTTTTATTGAATAATATATAATAGCTAATTTTTCTTTATATGATTACCCTCAACAGCTTAAGGATGTATCAATCAGTGTCTTATGGTAGCAGTCAACATCGCAGATGAATTAGTCAAACGCTCAGCTACTTGGAAAAGGATTTGGACATGTTGGTAATGAAACGACCAAACATACCAGAAGCAAATATGGAAAATATGATCTTACTAGATCGAAACGAAAACATGTTACTCTCCAAACATGTTTTGGGAAAGAGCTTTTTAAAATTTATGTGTTTCAACTCTGTGTCGTAAGAAGAATTAATGAACCATTCTGTAGCTCTTAAGAAAAAGCCGTAGCACTTGGTTCTCGTCAACGCAAAAGGTGTTGGCAAATATCAAATATTTCAGAAAATCGTGGTTTCTGAATAGCGATTGTACATCGTATATTTCTTCTTTTTTTAAGAAATTTAATCATTGCGTCTATTACTGTGCCTAAATATATTTTATTATATCAAATAAGAAAGAGCACATCTCAGAGTACTTAAAAACTTATTTCAACTCATTCTAATGTTGGTACAACTGTCGAAAAAAATTCTGAATGATTTAAAATGAATGTAGAATGTTGAACGTTTCACCTTATTTGTTACTTTCACTTTTTTTCGATAAAACTGTTCGACGATCTTGGTGAAGAATTTTACGACGTATCTTTTAAAAAAACAACAGGCTCATAGAAGAAGTCGGTCGAAGGACAAAGCTGAAATACGCTTATTGTATGTTACAGCAAAAAATGCTAGACAGACAATCTTCTGTGGTAGAAGTAGAACACATCGATCTACTCGATCTTTTTTATTGACTCTAACGGTCCTTTCATGGCTTATGCTTTGGGGCTTTTCTTCCTAGACTTGCACCAAAATTTGTCTAATCATATTTGTTTTATTGGATAATATATAATAGTTAATTTTTCTTACCCTCAACTGCTTAAGAGACGAATCGTGAGGAGAGCAAGAAAGGCCGTAACATGAAATTTTTTAACATATACTTTTTATTATATTTTTGGATTCTACAATCAAAACTAAGGTTATGAAAAAATTATTAGCCTTCCAG